GCCGGGAGCGGCCGCTGCACTCCAGCCTGGGCGACAGAGTGAGACTCCAACTCAAAAAAACAAAAAATCGCTTGCAGCATAAGGAAGGAAGAGCACGTGAGAACATCTCTGTGGTTCTGCACCCCACTGCCGAGGTTTCTGCCCACAGCCTCCCGGTTCAGTCCCCAGGGCACCCTGTAGGGCTGGCTGCGGGTAGGGTATGACACGGCACCTCCCTGGGGAGTAGGGGGAAAAGGATGAGAGGTGATAAGTGTCTCTCATTCCTTCCTGTCTGCCATCTTATGTATGTCTTAGAAGGGACATGTTGTATCCATTCCACAGTAGAGGTATGTAAGTTACAAATCAAATACATTTATTGACCTTGCTTGTTGAAGAATCTTCTCTTTTTTTGAGTGGGGTCTCACTCTGTTGCCCAGGCTAGAGTGCAGTAGTATGATCGTGGCTCACCTCAGCCTTGACCTCCTGGGCTCACGTAATACTCCTGCCGCAACCTCTTAAGTAGCTGGGACTACAGGTGCTTGCTACCACCACGACCAGCTAATTTTTAAATTTTTTTGTAGAGATGAAGTCTCACCATGCTGTTCAGGCTGGTCTTGAACTCCTAGGCTCAAGCGGTCTTCCCACCTTGGCCTCCCAAAGCGCTGGAATTTTAGATGTGAGCCACCGGGCTTGGCCTGAAGAACTTTTTTTTGCCTGAAGGAGGGCAAAGTCGCAAAAGTTTGTCCAGCCCTGGAATTGCCTCCTTATCCTGGTGTCGGAGTAGACACAGATTTCCTTTCGACTACAGCTGAGCCTTTCATCAGGGAAGCTGTGTGCTAGGTTGCTGAGAAGGAAAGAAAGTCCCCATGAGCAAACAGAGAGGCTTGGAGGTTGCATTCCTGGTGCATGTACTGTTCTCCAGGGCCCAACCTGTGGCAAGCTCCCCTGGCCCAGTGCCCCCACAGCAGGCTGAGGGCCATCGCTGGAGGAGACGCACAGCAGCTGGCCGCGGCACAGAAGCCCTTGCAGGCCGCTGCCGTCTCGCCCCGGGTTGAGCGCCCGTCCCTGTCTGGGCTGATCTTTCTGCCTCCTTTCCTGGGCCTGCGCCAGAGTTCTGTCCTCCTGCCTGGACCTTCCAGTCGTGGCTCTCTGACCTCAGAGGATCATAGCACATTGGACCTGCAGGGAAACTCAGGGGCCCTCTGGCCTCGCCTCCCTTCTCAGCTGAGCAAGCTGAGGCCCCGAGGGAGGACCTGACACGTCCCAGGACCTGCGCTGCAGGGGTGGCAGGGAGTGTGCCCACTCGTCTTCCATGCCCCAAGTGATTCTTTCCTTTTTTTTTTTTTCTTTTCTTGAGTTGGAGTCTCACTCCTTCACCCAGGCTGGGGTGCAGTGGCATGCACACTCACGTCACCCCAGCGTCGACCTGCTGGGCTCCAGCGATCCTTCCGCCTCAGCCTTCCGAGTAGCCGGAACTACAGACGCGCGTTACCACACCCGGCTATTTTTTATTTTATTGTAGAGATAAGGTCTTGCCAAGTTGCCCGGGCGGGTCTCAAACCCTCAGGCTCAGGCCATCCACTTGCCTTGGCCTCCCAAAGTGCTGGCATGACAGGCTGAGCCCACCCCCAGATGATTCTTTCTTTTCTTTTTTTTTTTTTTGAGTTGGAGTCTCACTCTGTCGCCCAGACTGGAGTGCAGCGGCCGCTCCCAGCCACCGCAGCCTCGACCTGCCGGGCTCCGGGGATCCTTCCGCCTCAGCCTTCTGAGTAGCCAGAATTACAGGCACATGCTACCACGCCCGGCTAATTTTTTAAAAATTTTATTGTAGAGATGAGGTCTCACCTGCCCAGGCGGATCTCGAACAGATGATTATCTCTAAGTTGTGAGTTTAAAGGTCCATGAGTGAAAAATAGTATCGATTGCTAAGCAGCTGTGAGGATGAGGGAGAGGCACTAAGGCTGAAAACACAGTCTGTTTCACTCCGGCTTTTTTTTTTGGTGTCAGAGTCTCTCTCTGTTGTCCAGGCTGAAATACAGTAGCATGATCATGGCTCACCATAGCCTTGACATCCTGGGCTCAGCCGATCCTTCTGCCTCAGCTTCCCGAGTAGCTGGACTATAGGCACATGCTACCACGCCCAGCTAACGTTTTTTACTTTTTGTAGAGATGAGGTCTCACTGTGTTGCCCAGACTGATCTCCAGCTCCTGAACTCAAACAAGCCTCTTACCTCGGCCTCCCAAATTATTGGGATTACAGGCTTGAGCCACCTTGCCGTGCTAGTGGGTGTGAAGTGAAATCTCACTATGGTTTAATACTCTTATTCTTACACAATAATTGTTCCTATTTTTCTTTCTGAGTTTCAAGTATTTGTCTTTACATGGGTGTATCCTGTTTTTTTTTTCCCCTGACTTAACCCAATTTCTTTTTTTTTGAGTTGGAGTCTCACTCTGTCACCCAGACTGGAGTGCAGTGGCCGCTCCTGGCCACCGCAACCTCGACCTGCTGGGCTCCGGCGATCCTTCTGCCTCAGCCTTCTAAGTAGCTGGAACTACAGATGGACGCCACCACGCCCGCCTGGTTTTTTGATTTATTGTAGAGACATGGTCTCGCCGAGTTGCCCAGGCTGGTCTCAAGCTCGTGGGCTCAGGCAACCCTCTCACGCACCCGGCCGATTTCTTAAATCCTTTTTGGCGCTGCCTCTCATGAGGTATTCGTGTAATGCTGCTTAGTGCTCTCGGCTACGCAGGAACCTTGGGAGACCTCTTGGGAGTGGGGTGGAGCAGGCTGAGGCACCCCAAGGAAGCAGGCACCTCTCTGCGCCCACAGGCTACTGCTTCTATAAGCTCCAGGTTGACTTCTCCTCGGACCGCCTGGGCTGCTTCACCAAGTGCCGGAAGCCATGCAGGTGAGTGACCCTTCCCCAGGTCCAGGCTGGGGCAGGGGCTGCTTGCTGGGTGGAGTGCGGGGTCCCCAGCTGAGCCTCCGACTGGGAGAGCTCCGTCCGTCACTGAGTGCCTTTTTCCGTCCCCAGTGTGACCAGCTACCAGCTCTCTGCCGGCTACTCACGGTGGCCCTCGGTGACATCGCAGGTACAGCAGGGAAGGGAGGAATGGTGGACCCGTGTGTGCACGTGACACTGTGGCCGTCCTTGGTCTCACGTGGAGGAGTGTGTTGGCCCTGAGCCCTCCCTGTACGCTTCAGGAGTACAGGCACCTCAACGACACCCCCATTCTTTCCCAGGAGTGGGTCTTCCAGATGCTGTCCCGACAGAACAATTATACCATCAACAACAAAAGGTCAGTCCTGCCCTGGCCCCAAGGAAGGGGATCCTTGGGAGGGAAGGCAGAGCTGGGTGGAGGAGTGATGCAGCCCGGCCAGTGGGCCAGGAAGTGAATCTCCCGCTGTGTCTTCCCTCCCTCCCCCACGCCAAAGAAATGGAGTTGCCAAGCTCAACATCTTCTTCGAGGAGTTGAACTACAAAACCAATTCTGAGTCTCCCTCCGTCACGGTGAGTCCTGCGCGGGAGCTGTGACTCTCGGGTCTCGGCGGGGTGGCTGTCAGAGAGCACGGGGTGACCTCTGTGGGGCCGGAAGGTTTGGTCCTCAAAGGTCGAGGGCCAAGGAAGGGTGGGAGGGGTGCAGGGCGAGGCTGGGGGCTTGGAAGAGGAGCTCGGCTGGGACCCGAGGCCCCCGGGCTGTGGGAGGGGCGACTGCTCGGGAGGCTCAAGACACGTCTGGTGTGCCAGTTGTCCGCTTCCTCTGGGGATACCGGCTAGGAGCTGTGTGCCCGAGGGGAGGGACAGAGCAGCGAGGGGAGGCTGGAGGGCAGTCGAGAGGCCCCGGGGACGGGTCTCGGG